AGACTTCCAGAGACACTAAGTTCAGCTGAAGCAAAAGAGTTCCAGCTTAGTGGCTGAAGCTAGCCTTAAACTCAATCACCTCTTAGCAAGTAATCAGATTTAGAAGCAAATTCCAGAGTTTGCTCAGCTTGTTCTAGCAGTAAGGCCAGTCACTCTCAAAAAAACTAAAAAACAAAAAAAAAAACCTAAAAAAAAAAAAAAACAAAACAAAAAAAAAAAAAACAACTACCCAAACAAAAACTAAACAACCAAAACAAAAAACCGCCCCATAAAACATTATCTCTTTTAGACAACCTTAAAGAGAAGACACTATCTGTTTTACTATGTGGACAAACATGTTTCTCTCAGGCAAAAGGTCACTGAAATTTGCATACCACAGGAATCCTGAATTCTGATTCTGCTTTGTACATCAAGAGGACGTGAAATGTTGGTTGCCTGAAAAGACAGACTCAAAAACTAGCAGAATGTTTGACAAGTATCTAGCATGGGAAATAGCCAGGAAACAAGTTATATTTACCTGTATTGCATCTTCAATGAATACTACAGCTTGGTTTATATAAAGGTCATTAACACTAGTACCTGCAAAGTTAAAAAGAAGAATCATTTGGGAGTTTGGATAAAGCCTACAGCTTTCTTATTAGTTAATATAAGCTCACAACCATGGTTCTCATGACAAATGACACTGTGCAAAAAGCAGAGACACAGCTCCTGCCACTGTGCTCCAACAGTAGCACCCTTCATTAATTAAAATAATCATCATCATGCATGTTTCCGTATTTTGTGAAAAGGTTCTCTCTTACGTTTAGCTTAACTAACTTAGGCAACTAGATTACATGAGTAGTTAAATAGCTGTCAAAAGACTGGAATATTTCTATACAGAGACAAGTCCTAAGTAACAGGCATTATAATAGAGCTTCAACCAAAACATTCCTTAACAAAGCATACAGCAAACTGAAGCTGGAAAAATCAAGACAATAGTATTCTAGGAATTTTTACTTCTGCTTAATAAAGGTACTGAGGTTTACACTGATCTCATTCTCTCCAAAACCAATGCAAATCTCCAGTCACTTGAGAATAAAATTAAATCCTCTTTCAATTTGTCCTGAGAATTATTATTAATGTATCAAACAGATCAAGACACGTAAAGGAGTGAAAGTATACAAAGTGAAATAAAATTATCACCAAGTTAGTTACTATGCAATGTTTCAAAGACCATTACTAGGAAGTCTGTATGAAGAATAAAGGACAATCATTTGAATTCACTTGAAGGACCTTTGAGTAACTAATCTTTTAACGAAACCAACAAGAGAGACAAAGACAACTAAGCCCCAAATGTGAAGGAAAAAGAAAAAAAAAAGGGTGAAGGAGTGGGAAGAGAGAAAACTGACGGAGACAGAGATATGAAAACAGGTGCTACTGTAACCTTCCCACAGAGGGGAAGAGTCCCCAAGAACACTTTATACCATCTTCTCCCAGGAGACAGCAATCACAGACGGGATACAATGAGACAGAATCAGTCCCACTGCCAGCACAATGCGCTCCAGACACCAAGCAACACCAGAAATACCACTTATCTTGCATCCCATATGATTTTATCTTCCACATGATTCAGCAGCATCAGTTTTCCACAAAGACTGCAAACAGTTTTTAAATGTCACCATTTATCAGAGCATGAGCAACAACACAGTTTTGTACCAATTCTGATATGAATCAGAGTGCAAGAAAGACTGAGCATAAACAGAAGACACGCTAGGCTCATGCAGTGAAGATCCTATCTTTACTGAGTCATGACACACCAGCGAGATGAAAAACAAAGTTGTTTAAATGAAGAGCAGCAGTTAAAGGAATAGCAGGAACAGCAAAAAGTTTAGGTTCTGGGAGCACACAGAAAGCCTGGCATTGATCCCAACAATTCTGAAAGGGCAGAATCTAAGCAGCTGTTCTTAACACAAAACAGGGAAATTATCAAGAAATGTTGACTTGAAAAATTTCATTAAAAAGTAAAGACCAACCAATCAACCAAAAAAAAAAAAAAAAAATCCCACACATGCTCCAGGAATGCTATCAAGAACATCCAATTTATCTTGCAACTCTTAGTCACAGCAAGTGACACTTAGTCACAGTGATGAATGAAATACTGCTCAGCTTGGGTGTGCAGGATCTACCAGAGACTCCACACCAGTTTTGACACCAAACAAGCAGGCAACAAAAAGAGAAGGTTCACTTCAGTGACGCGATACCCTGAAAACAGAGAAGCCGAGGTGTCGAACGATCCTTTCCTGAACAGGGAAATGAAACCTCTAACATTTACGAAGGTAGAGAAAAAACTTGTAAGAAACTTTAAGCAAACAACAAAAGAACACCAAACCTTATGAAATGAAAAATAAATAAGAACAATAATCAGCGTGAGGCCAAATCGGCACAAGGTTTGCACCCGAGGTCAGCCAGCCGGGGCTGCCTGGCCGGTCCCTCAGCACAGTCCCAGACAAAACCGCGGGGAGCCCCACGCCGAGACCCGACACCCCGCGGGGTTCCCCTTCGGCGCCCGCCCCGTTTCCCGCGGAGGGCAAGCTCCGAAGGAAGGGCAATAGCAGCGGCGCCGCCCGCCTCAGGCGCCGGCTCCCTCAGCACCTTCCACCCAGCTCGCGCGCCCCGCGGCACTCACCGTCGTCGGCGGCAGTGGCGGCACCGGCCCGCCAGAGCCTCTGGCCCACTCGCCAGGTCCGTGGCGGCAACAGCGGCTCCGCCTCAGCGCCGGCCTCCATCACCGAACACCGCGCTACGCCCGCGCCACCGCCGGGATGTGAGAGCACCGCCCGCCGCACGTGACCGGCTGCCGGGGGAGGGCGGGAACGGGGCTCCTCCCGCCCAGCGAGCAGGCCCACTCTGTTTGGCGCCGGGCGTGGAGGGTACCAAGTCTGTGGTACAAAGTGCGTTTTCTTTACCTGAACTGAGGAGAGGAGACGCCGGGCGTCGTTTACCGTGTGAAATAAACATCGCTCGTGAGGAACTGGAGATTTTTTACCTCACGGCAGCTGTAAATCAGTGTCCTCGGCTGAGCGCTGCCTCAGGGGGAGCTGCGGGACAGCCTGCCGCCGCTCGGGGCTGGGCTCAGGAAACAGAGGAAATAATAGCTGCGTCCTGCCCGTAGGCACATTCCTCATCGTTTACCTTCCTGGCCGCAGAAAGCATTTAATTTGTGTTTAATTACTTAGCCCAGAAGCAACTATATATTTAGCTCATGCTGGTTTGACTGTTAAAAGATGCTTCACTTTTGCTGCTCCCCCCCTTTCCTCACGGTCCCCTTCATATACAATAAAGCTGCGATTTCAAAGGAAGATGATTTTACAACTACACACTTTTCTGTCACATGGTGGGAGCTGTGGCAGCATAATGATGAGCAGGAAAGTTTATCCATCCCTCACTCTAGTGTTCTAACCCAAGCACCAAAAGTAGGTGCATCCTCTAGTTAGCGGTGGGGTAGTTCTTACCTTCAGTTAGTTACACAGCCAATGAGTCAAACACCAGTTTTACACGGACATCTAAATAATTCACCCTTTTTACGAAGCTTAAGCTAAAAGGAAACCTCCATAACATGACCTTTATCATAATAGCCATCACTACTAAACAGTGAATGTCAGCAGCTACGTCTTACATTTATTTCCTGTTCCCAGCGCAGATAAAATAGGAGTTAAGTGTTGATAACGGCTGAACTAGGGGCTACACACTACAGTGAAAAATTCAGAACAGTAAAAGGAAAGTAAGGGTGGGCCGGTACAATCTGTATTCAGCATTAGCAGGTAATAAATAATATGGAATTTGTATACATGGTATAAGTGCCATTGCAAAGAAGCACAACTGTTTAATCATTGAATGTCTGAAATATTCAGGATAACAAAAGTAACAGGGAACACATGTAAACACTGGGTTTTTTTTTTTCTTTTTTTTTTTTATTTAAATGAAAGAAAATGTTTCCTTTTTTCCTCTTCTGTGATTGTCAGGGAAGAGAATCAGTAACTTCAGGGACTTAAAAAAAAAAAAGGAAGAAGCCTTCAAATGTACAGTGAACTTCTGTTCAAAATTCATCCACTTCCCTCTGTCAGGAACAGGAAGCAGAAGTGCTCAAATGATGGTGAAGGAAGATGAATCGCAAACATCTTAGTACCAGCAACAACCACTAAGGTCTAAATGCATACCATATAACAAACCCACCAAGAACAGTGCAGCACCTTTAACTGCAACTGAATTAACTCTGGCTTTCTGGATTGTGGAAAACAAATGTGGAGAACATGCCCTTTTAGCAGGCATTTTTCATTAACACAATATATGACCAGTTTTAAGAGTCTCACTTGGCCTAAGCTCTCCTGCTGTCGCAGTCACAGCATTGTTTGCTCAGAACCTCAGAAATGCACTTCTAGTTTTCCCTATTAAAAGCACAACTTTCAACTCTTTTTTTTTTTTTTTTTTTAAAGCAGAAGAACTGGCCAAACATTAAATGAATGAGCAGAAGAGAGACTCATGAGAAGGAACAAGCCTATCCTTGTACCTTTTTATTATTCCATAGCATGGGACACAGTTAAAAGACTGATGAAGCTGTGAAGTTAAAATAAGTTTTTGCAAACAGCAGATGGAAGGTGCTGAAAGGAAGCTGGCTTTATACTTCATTCTGCAGTACTAACTCCATTTCCAGAGGCTTGATTCAAACAGTAAAGGGATTATGTGGACAACTCCAACCACTCACTGCTGGCATGGTCACTGATAACAGATCACACCTCCTGGACAAACAGCACCAGAGCAGATAGGAACAGCAACAGTGGCGTGGATACCAACCTTGTGTCCTCTCTATTCAAGATATATTGCACCAGAAGATATGTCTTATTTCAGGTACATCAACTACATTTACACATCAAAAATGCCAGGAGGGAAATCACACCAAGCCAACTTTATTCAAATTCCTTAAAATACAACTGAGGATCTTGGTGAGCAGTAACAATGAAGCAATTCGCTAACCATCCTGATGAAGTAGGTATTGCTCCTTTCTGAGAAAATTAAGTCAAAGATTTTAAAGTTTTTTGTCACAGGTTACACAGCAAGTACATGCAAAACAAGAAGCTGAACTCTAATTTGGATCCCACTAACAATGGGATTACCCATCTGCTTCAAGTTAGACTTACTTCCTTGCCAAATTACACCTTATGTGGCCACTGAAAACACTCAACCAGACTGCATGGCCCATGCTAGCTAAATAAAAAATACATAAAGTAAGAACTGAGCCAATTAGCATTACAAAATTACAAGTTTATTGCAAAGTAAAATGAGTTTTTCCCCTCTACAGCATATGCCAGAGCTGTTAAAATTTTATACTTTCAGCTAAATGTTTTCAAAAATCATATCCCAAGTTGTCAGAACCAAGCTTACTACTTGTGTATGTATTCACTTTCACGGAACAGTAAGTACCCTGCATTTATTTATGGTTGATACCCAAATATTTTTCATTAAAGGCTATTAACTCAGGAAGTTGAAGAAAATCCTTAATAAATGATTCCTTAGCCAAACTACAGTGTAAGTATATTGGGAATAAAATGGGAAGTCAATCAAAACAAAACCAAAAAAATTACAAATACCATTTACTATGGTCATGTCAACAACTGTTTGGGTCATCTCTGCCCATCATCACAATATTAGTCCTGTTTTGAACATTCTGCTATTCTGCTTAGCAAGTTAATTACCACAGTTAAACAAGACAGCAAATCAGTCCGTATCTTCAACTAGAGAAATTTCTTCCTTTTTTTCTAGCTTGGATACCTGCAAGTTAAAAGGAAATTGATTCAATAACAACTGAAATAATTATATATATTTTATGCATATATAAAAAGTAATAGTACAAGTAAGTTTGCATTTAATGTCTCTGGTCCTCTCAGATTTCCATCACAAAGCAGTGTAGAGCCCAGATTTCCCAGTAACTGACAGCAGAGTATGCTCTAGGGGACAACTGAGCTAAACAGGGTGTTGCAGTCAAAATGTAAGATCAGACTTTCTTCCTGCCTACCTCCCCAACCTTCCCACATCCGAGTTCTCACTCTCTGTGTTTTGGTCAGTTTGGTGACTTCAGACCAGGCCATAACCTGAAATCCTGCCTCTAACAGAGAGTCTAGAGTAATTAAAACTGAGAGGAAATGCTTTTCATACACACATACACAATTTTACAATACTGACCTTCACTGTTCTTAAAACTTAAGAAAAGCAATTACCTTATATTAAGCTTATATTACCTCTTATTAAGCTAAGCTGTTGTTAAGACTAACAATATAAACAGTTTCAGAAAGTATTCTACAAACTCAAACAAGAGCATGAACTAAGCACAGTGCTTTGTACGTTATCTGTAACTCTGGAAAATCCAGTTCTACATTGCCCAGATCTGTGGGGATATACAGGGAGGGTCATATTAAAAATTCCCTGTTCTTATATTCTTCCTTCAACATCTGCTACTGGTCATAAGACACACACAAAGATACTCAGGCTGATAAATCTTTTGGTTTGACCAAATGCAGCTGATCTCGTGTAAGCACTGGAAAAAGCAGAAGACAGACTTGCAGATACGTAATCATCAGGGGCAAGCATGGCAGCTTTCTTCTGCGCTGTGTCACTGGTCCTTCATATTATGCCAGCTATTAAAATCCCAATGAACATTCCGGCACCTAGAAAGTGTTAAAGTGCACGCTCTGACCACATATCCTTTATGTAAGGTACAACTCAAAGGCAGAAGCTACTGGAGTTCCTAGGGCTTCTCTATACCCCTAGGAATTTATCACCCAGGTGGAACCTTCAGCTAGCTAGAGGTTAATAATATTAAGACTCCAAGGGCAAATCTGGCAACTGCCAGCAAACGCTATTATCTCAACTTCCTCTTACTGCTGTTCCTTCTGCAGCAAATACAGATGCACTTTTGCACTTCAAAGAATGGGTAACTACATTGGCTTGACTACAGTACAAGCATCCAAAGTAGAAAAGTACTTTTCACAAATCCAACGGATTTCTCTATCATAGGCGCTCCAAACCATTTCCCTTCACACATTGGCTTAAGATTTGATTTGACTCTTCTACAAGAAAACCCAGCATTACCTAAGTAAAGGTGAATTTTACATCATTCAGAGTTTATGCCTTATTTTCAGTCCTGTTACTACACCAAAAAAGCCTTAAGTGCAGATTAAGTCCCAAGAGCACAATTATAAGTGAGACACTGTACTACAGAGTGCTTGTCTTCAGAATTACAGTTGTGCTGGATATGCACAGTAAGCGGAAACACTTACAGTATTCCCTTTCTTGAATAGGGAAGATCTGACTCATCTAACTGCAAATCATCATTTTCCAGTCTTGCAAAAAGCTAACTCATCGTTATGGATATCAGATCACATTACTGCTGCCTACATAACAGATTCTTCCCCAAACTTGACTCCCAGTTTCCAGGAATAAGTTGCAATGGCTAGTACCCTTGCACAGTACTACTATTACATACACGTCTAGTTAAAGACTGTAATAATATCCTGGATCACGAAGAGATCTTTATCACAGTTACTGTAAGCATTAAATAATTACATTTTGGTCCAGACCCTACAAAAATATTTTACCCAACTCCCATTGAGGCCAAAAGAACTTTTGTCATGGACTTTAGTGGGAAAAAGTCCAAAATGATGGAGAAAAATCTTCCACCATACAGACCTATAAAACACTGCTGCACATGGCAGGTTTCATCCTACGTTTAAAGGTAATAAAACACCATTACAACATGTCTGGCATTTCACAGACAAGGGAATTAATATTTTATTACACATATAAACATATTCTTAAGAGCAACTGAAGTGTAAAATCTCTGGCAGAAAAAAAGAACCTTCAAGGTGCTAAAATTCTTCAGCACTTTTGCCTTTAAAAATGCATTAAAATAACATCAAAGGCATAACTAAAAAATACAACGTTAAGCACAGGTCTGATAATTGCTTGAGCCCCTCCACACCTCACAGTGCTCAAACTAAGCACTGTACCATTACTATTTCTGTATCTGAGCAAACATATTTGTGAGTCAACTGACTTAAGGTTGTAGAAGCAGGTTGGAGAAGCTTTCACAACAAATTGCTGCCTTCTACTGGCTTTTCCTCCACAGTCGCAGGTCAAGTCTTAATCTCATAATTAAACAAATCCCGAACTGAAACTAAAACACATAAACTTGTTCTCTGCATTAGCACAGTGAGTATGGGTACACCTATTAGTTTCTGGCCTCAGTACATATATTCTCTTTCTTTTCTCTCTTCTCGCTTTCACAGCATTACAACATGCTGTACTTAACAACAGAAACAAAACAAAACAAACGACATGGCCTACACTGAACCCAGAGAATTCTGAGCCTCACAGCTATGTGAAAAGAACACTCACAAGAATTTGTTATAACTATTACTCCTAAATGCTAGCAGTCTTCTATTGGAGATTCACTGGAACTGAGCTGGTCCCATTGTGAGGGCTTTAAATACAAAACTACACAAGAAGCAGAAGGCATTTACCTCTTCATCTATACACCTAAATTGCCAGGACCATGTACTGTTATAAAGGAAAGGCCTCAGGTCAAACCGGTTGTCATCTGGACTGTAGTTTTCAGCATGGTAGGAAGGAGTGAGGGTGGTCATTTTATGTCTGTTAAGTGAATACATCCTGAAGAAATGCTTAACCTTTGATGCCACCTGGTGTACAAAGAATATAGCTTTAAATCACATGAAGATTCTTAGTATTTAAAAAATCTAGAGAACTGTATTTTGGAGACTGTACTCTAGCTTTACACATCCATTTTATTCCATTAACATTTTCATAAATTATCTACCACTAGTATGAATCCCTGTGGATGACCCTGCCTATAAGAGGCACTCAAGACCATTTCCAGACGCTCAGAAGTACACACCAACCTCTCCAATTCAGGTGAAAATCTGACCTTGTTCCTTTATGCACAAGAAGAGAAAAACTACGTAACAGCAAAGCAGATAGCTCTGCAGCATAGATATTCTTTCAAAGCAAGAGCCAAGTTCTGTCTCACAATACACAACCACAAGGCTTCAAGAGTAGTTAGCCATGTGTATTGCAGAGAATACTTTTCCCCTGAAGGCATAGTTCTGAAGTAATTATTTTCAAGTTACCCAATTACTGTTCTAACAACATGCAACACAGACAACAGACTGCATTAATTTAGGAGACGCATACCAATTCTTCCAGCATATTATGCTACAGCTGTAGAATAATCTCTAAACACAGAATAATTAAACTATCTTTTTCCATTCAAAGGAACTCTACTCAACCTTTCTCCAAACATACTCTTTTTTGGCAAAGACATTATACAATTTGATTATTTTTTTTAATATTACCTCTCTTGGAGCACAAATTTCCTTCCACATGTTAATCAGCTTACAGAACATACTGTATGGTCCAGCCTTTGCAATTTTTCTTAATTTGCCATAGATGGAGAGCTCTGCATATGTCGTTCCCATATCCACCTGCAATCCGCACACACAAAGTCACTGAAAATATTAACAATGCAAATTATAATTCAGTTTTATGGATTACAATAACCCAGTTTAAGCAAACATCAAAATGAAATAGCCACTGATCAGAAAGATAATCATATTACAAGCAAAAGAAAAAGTACCTACTGAAATCTCTCTGAAATAGGAGATGTGAAATCTTTCCATGAATGTATCTGATTTGTATTTGATCTGGCCAGTGAAAACATCTCTTTTCTGACAAATAATTGTTCATTTTCCCTTCTAGGTGGCTTAAACATAGTGTATTTCAGTAAGATAAGGCCAAATAAAGAAAGCCACTAGTTCTAGTTCAGCAACCTACTGCTGTATCATAAAGACCTTCAGTCTTTAATAATTAAATTAAGACATTTTACAACATGCTGATCAATAAGCATGGATACAGACAAAAGCAAACACTAGTTATTGGACAAAAATCAAATTTGGAGATAAGGCTTACCAGAGCATTTTAAAGTCACTGCCCATTACCTCATCAGTTTGAGCCACTTGTCCATCCACCAGGGGCTCTAACTCTGCAGTGGGTGGAGCTGACATGATACTGTAAGAAAAAGGTAAAAAGAAAAACATTAATTCTATCCAGCTTTGTGAATACTAGTTAACAAACTAGTTTGCTAAGCCTGGTTTGTTAAAAATCAAATGCTTTATTCAAAACTTCTTCAGGACATAAGCTACTAAAGAACTAGATAATGCTAAAGAAGTGACACTTGCAAGCTGTTCCAGGTTTAAAAAGCAATGCTTTATACCAAAACGTAAAGCATCTGGTTCACACAATATGAAGACAGGCTAAGAAAGTTGGGCTGTTCAGCCTGGAGAAGAGAAGCTGCGTGGAGACATCAGAGCAGCCTTCCAGTATCTGAAAGGGGGCCTACAAGGATGCCAGAGAGGGACTCTTCATCGAGGACTGTAGTGATAGCATAAGGGGTTACGGGTTTAAACTAAAAGAGGGAAAGTTCAGGGTAGATATAAGGAAGAAGTTCTTCCCTGTGAGGGTAGTGGGACATTGGCACAGGCTGCCCAGAGAAACTGTGGCTGCCCCATCCCTGGCAGTATTCAAGGCCAGGTCAGACAGAACCTTGGGCGACATGGTCTAGTGGGAAAGTGTCCCTGTCCATGGCAAGGGGTTGGAACTGGATGATCTTAAGGTCCTTTCTAACCCAAACCATTCTATGAATCTGTGATTCTATGATTAACACCACCAATGTTTGCATATAGTAACTCCTAAGCCTAGCAGCATTTTCAACACCCAGCAATGTACATTGTGTAAGCCACACAATCATTTAAAAACACAGCAATGTGCAGAACACTCTTCTTCACTACCATTTGCAGTATTACTGTAGCATAACTCTATTAATAGAAAAAAACAAAACACCAAAGCATATTGTCCACAGTATGCTGCATACAAATGCAGTCACCAAGCACCACTGCTTCACTGCTCACCTTCTGAGGGCTGTGAGGTGAAAATTTTCAATGCAATACTGAATGAAGTTCTTCAGATCAGTCTTGCTGATTCCACCAATGGGATTGATATCAGCACTTGAGCAATCATACTTTGTCAGGTAACCTCGGAGACTGAGTAAAAGAGGACATGTTAGAGAGGAATAGGAAATAATAATGTGAGTATAATCGATAATAGTTTATACTATAGAGAATATATATATGTAGTATGAATACAGGGAAAACCAGACTGCATGTTATTAATGTATTTATACATCAGAGGCAAACATGCTCAGCTGCAACAGGGGTATTCTAAAGCTAGGAAATTGCCAGGAGGATGAAAATGATATTTTAAACCATTCCGAAGCACTACAAAACTACCCATGCTAAAGTAATGGATCTGATGCAAAACACTCAAAAAAAACCCAAAACATTCACACCAAAACACTCACAGTACCTGCACATACTATTCTCATAGCTTTAGAGGTTATCAATCCCACATTCTTATGGGGATTGCTTTAATCTTCAAATAGTCAGCTGTAAGGTCAATAGCCCAAGTTTCTAAAGGCTCTTTTTTCAACTGATAATTCACAGCTTAATTGCTGATACAACAATTGAAAGATACAACCAATAAGAGATTGGAAAGTTAACCTGGTAACTACACAGGCAAGCTCTACTGAAAACAGCTAAGGAAGGAACATTTCAGTGGAAGACTTTGACAATACTTTGGCTGAATTTCTGAAAATTACACATTTTTCCATTGAGTCCGATCCAACTATTTTCTTTAATTTCACTGCTATCAGTGTACTTTTAGCTTGTTACGTGTTTTTGGTAACACTACACTGGGATTGGTAGAGTTGCAAGAAAATGCAGTGACCTGCTCCCCATTCACCTGGCTTTAGGTCTCTAACTCCTACCAACCTTTCATCCACATTGGCTGATCCTAGCACCAGAAGTCCCCCTGGCATCCCACGAGTCCATAGTGTCAGCTGGGCAAACAGGTAGGCAAGGACCATTCTTATTCTAGCCTGCAAAGCAAAATGAAAAATAAAGCTGACTTGAGAAGCAGAATAATTCCTCCCAAATCACTTTTCTTAATCAATTCCCTAAACAAACCCACAAGGAACAAAATACAAGAGGGGCAACCATTACTGCAAGAAGTATGGTCTTGTGGAGAAGATGCCAAACACATGTAGAAAAGCCAGACTTAAGTATCCACTACTGCCACAGACTTCCATCACCAAGCAAGTTCATTCTATTACAAATTGCAGAATGGGGAATAGTTGCCATTTCCTTACCTCCTGAAAGCTTCAGTAAGGATCCATGATAGATATAGCATGCAGATAACCCATCTGTCTACTGTACTCTTTTATAGAGCATTAGACAAAAGGGACTTACTTACATAAAATATGTAAAAAGTTCTCTTTGCTTTTGTCCCCTGAAACTCAAACTTTTCTAAGGGTGATCTCATGGTTTAAGCCCAGTCAGTAACTCAGAACCACGCAGCTGTTCGCTCACTCCCCCCGTTCTTACTCCCCCCTCTCTGTCGTGGTTTAAACCCAGTCAGGTAACTTGTTCACTCACTCCCAGTGAGTGGTGCCGAGCTGACAACAATCAAGGTCCGTGTTCGTCTCCCCCCCCTCCCTGCACCGGGGCTCTCCCCTTCCCCGCTCCCGGAGGAACGGGGAGGAGGATCGAGAGAGTGCAACTCCTACGGGTTGAGACAAGAACAGTCCAGCAACAAATCACCACCGCTACTATCAGCTAAAAACAATGATAAGGGAAAATAACAAGGGAAGAGAATACGATACCACCGGCCAAGAAAACGAGTTCCACCCGGAAGCCCCTGTCCTTCCGGGTAACTCCCAGTTACCCCCCACCCCGGGCATGACGTGCTGTGGTATGGAATACCTCCCCGGCTAGCCCGGGTCAGGCGCCCCGTCTCTGCTTCCTCACAGCTTCCCCTCTTCCCTGGCAGAGCATGAGCCTCACAGAGTCCTTGGTCAGGGTAAACATCACTTAGCAACAACCGACAACATCGGCTTCACCAACGCTGTTCTCAAAACTAGAAGTCAAAACACAGCACTGCACCAGTTAACATAAAGGAAAAAACATGACTGCTACTGCTGAACCCAGGACATTATCCACCCCTTATTCCATACCATTCACGTCGTGCTCAGATCCCACATTTTCAATACACCATCGCTCTCCCACATATATACATCCATATACATACAGACCAAGAGGAAAAAAATCATTTTCTTAGTGCATGGACCAATCCCTATAATGCTGCCGAGTCCATCCGGTCCATGATGTTCCAAGTTCATTTTCTGTTGGGATGATGGCTGGAGGGAAGTCAGGGCCAGTCGCTGGTGACCTGGAGACATCTAGTTGATGGGCTATAAAAGCATTACACAGCAGGCAACAGCATACAATTGAGTTCACTGGCTGTTTTCCCCTAAAATCAAATCCCCTTGAGGTATACATCGGACTTCCCCATCTTCCCGCATTACCCACCAAGTATATCCAGGTCCCTGAGCAAAAGCAATCCCACGAGTGGGTTTGCCTTTACCTGAAGCAGGAATAACCCAGACTGTCTTCCCCAGCAAATTCTTCATATGCACCACGGGAACTTTGTCCCCCTCTACAATATGTAAAAGTTCTGACTGGGCTGGGCCAGCCCTGTTGGCAGATCCTCTGGTGTTGACCAACCAGGTGGCCTTTGGTAAATGTGTATCCCAATGCTTGAAAGTTCCCCCACCCATCGCTCTCAGTGTAGTTTTTAACAGCCCATTGTACCGTTCGATTTTCCCAGAGGCTGGTGCATGGTAGGGGATGTGATATACCCACTCAATGCCATGCTCTTTGGCCCAAATATCTATAAGGTTATTCCGGAAATGAGTCCCATTGTCTGACTCAATTCTCTCTGGGGTGCCGTGTCGCCACAAAATCTGTTTCTCAAGGCCCAGGATGGTGTTCCGGGCAGTGGCATGGGGCACAGCGTATGTTTCCAGCCACCCGGTGGTTGCTTCCACCATGGTAAGCACATGGCGCTTGCCTTGGCGGGTTGGTGGCAGTGTGATATAGTCAATCTGCCAGGCCTCCCCATATTTATACTTCAACCATCGTCCTCCATACCAAAGAGGCTTTAACCGCTTGGCTTGTTTAATTGCAGCACATGTTTCACACTCATGAATAACCTGGGCAATAGTGTCCATTGTTAAGTCCACCCCTCGGTCACGGGCCCATCTATATGTTGCATCTCTGCCCTGATGGCCTGAAGTGTCATGGGCCCACCGGGCCAAAAATAATTCACCTTTATGTTGCCAATCTAAGTCCATCTGAGCCACTTCAATCTTAGCCGCTTTATCCACTTGTTGGTTGTTCTGGTGTTCCTCAGTGGCCAGACTCTTGGGTACATGGGCATCTACATGACGTACCTTCACCACCAGGTTCTGCACCCGGGCAGCAATATCTTTCCACAGTGCAGCAGCCCAGATGGGTTTACCTCTGCGTTGCCAGTTGCTCTGCTTCCATTGCTTCAACCACCCCCACAGGGCATTTGCCACCATCCATGAGTCAGTATAGAGATAAAGTACTGGCCACTTTTCTCGTTCAGCAATGTCCAGGGCCAGCTGGATGGCTTTCACCTCGGCAAATTGACTCGATTCACCCTCTCCTTCAGCAGTTTCTGCAACTTGTCGTCCAGGACTCCATACAGCTGCCTTCCATCTCCGATGCTTTCCCACAATACGGCAAGAGCCATCAGTAAACAAGGCATACTGCTTTTCACTTTCTGACAGTTTATTATATGGTGGTGCCTCTTCAGCACGCACCACCTCCTCCTCTGGTGACATTCCGAAATCTTTGCCCTCTGGCCAGTCCATGATGACTTCTAGAATGCCTGGACGACTGGGATTTCCTATTCGAGTTCGTTGTGTAATTAGTGCAGCCCATTTACTCCATGTAGCATCAGTTGCATGATGTGTAGAGGAGACCCTGCCTTTGAACATCCAGCCCAGCACGGGCAGCCGGGGTGCCAGGAGGAGCTGTGCTTCAGTGCCAATCACTTCTGAAGCAGCTCGAACCCCTTCATAGGCTGCCAGTATCTCTTTCTCAGTTGGGGTATAGCTGGCCTCAGATCCTTTGTATCCCCGACTCCAAAAGCCGAGGGGTCGACCTCGAGTCTCCCCTGGAGCTTTCTGCCAGAGGCTCCAGGTAGGACCGTTCTCCCCAGCTGCAGTGTACAGCACATTTTTTACATCTGGTCCGGTTCGGACTGGTCCAAGGGCTACTGCATGAACTATCTCGCGTTTAATTTGCTCAAAGGCTTGTTGCTGCTCAGGGCCCCATTTAAAATCATTCTTCTTCCGGGTCACATGATAGAGAGGGCTTACAATCGAACTGTAATTTGGGATGTGCATTCTCCAGAACCCCACTGCACCCAAGAAAGCTTGCGTTTCTTTCTTATTAGTTGGTGGAGACATTGCTGTTATCTTGTTGATCACATCTGTGGGGATCTGTCTACGTCCATCTTGCCATTTTATTCCCAAAAATTGAATCTCCTGTGCAGGTCCCTTGACCTTACTCCGTTTTATGGCAAAACCGGCTTTCAGCAGGATTTGGATTATTTTCCTCCCTTTCTCAAAGACTTCTTCCGCTGTATCGCCCCACACAATAATGTCATCAATGTATTGCAGGTGTTCTGGAGCTTGCCCCTGTTCCAGTGCAGTCTGGATCAGTCCATGGCAAATGGTAGGGCTGTGTTTCCACCCCTGGGGCAGTCGGTTCCAAGTGAACTGGACACCCCTCCAAGTAAAAGCAAACTGTGGCCTGCACTCCGCTGCCAAAGGAATGGAGAAAAATGCATTGGCAATATCAATCGTGGCATACCACTTGGCTGCTTTTGACTCTAGTTCATACTGAAGTTCTAGCATGTCCGGTACGGCAGCACTCAATGGTGGTGTGACTTCATTCAGGCCACGATAGTCTACTGTTAGTCTCCATTCTCCATTAGACTTTCGCACTGGCCATATGGGGCTATTGAAGGGTGAGCGGGTCCTGCTGATCACCCCCTGACTCTCCAGTCTACGGATCAGCTGATGGATGGGAATCAGGGAGTCTCGGTTGGTGCGATATTGCCGCCGGTGCACTGTTGCGGTCGCAATTGGCACTTGTTGTTCTTCAACTTTCAGCAACCCCACAGCAGAGGGATCTTCTGAGAGACCAGGCAAGGTGGACAGCTGCTCAATTTCCTCAGTCTCCAAAGCAGCAATACCAAAAGCCCACCGGTACCCTTTTGGGTCTTTGAAGTACCCTCTCTTGAGGTAGTCTATGCCGAGGATGCATGGAGCCTCTGGACCAGTCACAATAGGGTGCTTTTGCCACTCCCTCCCAGTCAGGCTGATTTCAGCCTCCAGCACAGTCAACTCTTGGGATCCTCCTGTTACTCCAGAAATATAGATGGGTTCCACCCCTTGACAGCTTGATGGCATCAGGGTACACTGTGCACCGGTATCTACTAGAGCCTTATACTTCTGTGGGACTGATGTGCCAGGCCATCTGATCCACACAGTCCAGTAAATCCGATTGTCCCCTACCTCCACCTGGCTGGAGGCAGGGCCCCTCTAATGGTCGTCACAGCATTGGACACTTAAGTCGTGTTGAAAGGGATTATTCTTCGTTATCACAGGAGCTGGAGTAAAATCAGCTCTTCCACTCCATCTGGGAAACTGCTCACCAGAGACTGAAGCCGTAGCTCTCATGGGACGATCAGTCTTGGCCCTTGCTCCCCTCTTCAGTTCACTCACCCGTTCCTCCAAAGCTGAAGTAGGTTTTCCATCCCACTTTGTCATGTCTTCTCCGTGATCCAGCAGGTAAAACCATAGGGTACCCCGTGCCGTATACCTTCTGTATCTCCTCTCTTGAACAATAGGACGTCTTTTGTTAATAGCTGAGACGCGTGTTGGTACACGTGAGGAGCTGGATAAATCAGATACATCGTCCCTCAATTTGTCGAGGTCCTGGG